ATACAAATTCCGGTGTAACTAGCTGCGGTTTGTGCATTCCTCATGTGATAATGGGCACTTGCCGCGGATGGATCCAGTTGCGGAAACGAAGTTTTGTTGATTCTGCACTTTTGGGCTAGCGATATACTACTGTATTTTTTGGCTGAGCTGGAACTGCTTCACACACCTCTTGTCAGTGAACGGTTGCGGTTGAAAAACGTATGGCGAAAGGGGCAAGGAAAATGCAGTTGTGTTTCAGCATTACACTCCACTGGGAAATTCAAAAATAGTCGGCTGTTGATGGCGTTGATGATCACTTCGACCGAGATGCACACTCGATCCATTTCTGTCGGTCAGAAACGCAGTTCTTGCTTCAAACACAGGATGCTTGCGCTCAAGAGTTTCAAAACGGGATTGTGGCTCTGATTTTGTATTTCAGGAGGATCGCTTCAAGTCGTTGTCCCTGATGGCTGCCGAACTGTCGAGAGAAAATTACCATGACAGCGATAAAATTCGGCTACGAGAGCGTGAACTGCTGGACAAGTGGTCGCAGCTACTGGCTGTGGTTGAGGCACGACGACGGGCGCTTCTGTCCCTCAGCGACTTGATGGGATTGTTGCGTGACATCGATACATTGTCTTGTGAGATACGTGTGCTCGAGGTAAAAATTGTCTCTCCTAAACATTGAAATTAATCAGGTGCGTAGCGTTACTGGTTTTCCCAGCTGCATTTTTGGAAAAATTGCTGAAACCAGGAGATTGGTCCGAAAAATGTTTGACTTAAGTATGGCTAAAGCAGAGTTCAGAAATTTTTTGAATTATAACTGCTTTCAAACCTGGGTCTTGCGCAACTTTTCTGTCGATTTTCTTAATAATTACAGACCGTAGTCTTTGATAGATTCGCAGCAATCTCGATTTTTGGTATTTTCAGCCCCAGTTTCGAAGCCGCGACGTCGGCAAACATTTGTTGGGCGTTGAGGATTTGCTTGGTAAGCAGGAGATCCTGGAGGCACAGCTTAATTCTCAGGGCGAACTGCTCAAAAATGTATCGTCGCAGGCACTGAATTACATTCGAGGGAAAGGTGAACAGTATGATGTTTTGCAACGAAAGCTGGATGATGTTAGTGGCCTGTACGAAAGGTAATCTGTTCCGCATAAATCCAGCTTGTATTCTCTTAGAAACCAGAAAAATTATTGGCTAAGGTGGATGCCCATTGCTTGTTGTTCTGAACAGGTTGGGATGCACCGTATTTGAACTATTCTTTGCAGCGTGGTGCAACTTTGTCAGCAACGTCGGATTGCTTTATATCGTGCTCGAGATTTGTATCGTTTTATCCAGGATGATGAGGAAGAAATGAGCTGGTTACAGGAAAAGGAAGATTTATGCATTTCTCTTCTCAAAAATAGAGATCTTTCAGCTACCGCTCAGCTGAGACGCATTTTCAAGGTATTGCATTTAACGCTTAATTTTTCTTTTGAAATCAAACTCGAACACGTCGTCACCCTGTTGTGGCAAGGTCAGCTTCTTGATCGGTGAATTTGCATGTGCAGATTTGCATTGTTTGGTAATTCCGGAGAGATCAGGAGGGCATTGCGCTAGGGTTTGCTGTTTTAAAAAAGTGAAACACAGACTTACTCGCATAGCCCGGAATGGGAAAAATACAGGAGAATTAAGTGTTGAGTCGAAATGTGTCACGATGACTTTTGCCGACGGGTCATGAAACGCAATTTGAATTGAGTTTTTACAGAATCTGGAGACGGAAATGGAAGGGCATTGGCAGCGCGCCAAGGGAGTCATCGCTGCCGGCGAAAGACTGATAGCAACGGGCCAGAACAAGGATGACATACAAAAACGAATTCATAATTTACATGCCAAATGGGAGCAACTGAGAAAAGTTGGTGCTTTGATAATACTAAAAAAAACTGATGATATGTGGACGCGAAAAATGTTAATGTTTTGTTTTGGTGTACCCTTTTTCTGCACTGATGCGTTTGTTCAGTGCTGGCTGGGCCTGCGTTATAGGTATGGGCGGTAGTCGTGATGCGAGTACAGCATACAAGTTAAGAGACTTCGGAGTGGAGGTTTCTAGAGGAGCTATGCCAGTTATTTGGGGAGGGGGGGGGAGGGGAAAAGAAAAAGAAAAAAGTTGTGTGCTCTTATTTGCAGACAGTATCATTATGGTGTTTGTGTGACAGCTGCTGCACATTTGTTGAGGAATGTGCCGGTCCGGGCACTGTGCTGATAAGCTGTGTAATAGTGATAACAATTTGAACGCATGCAAAAGCACTTTGGACATGCAGCGAACGTGTTGAGATTCTTTTCAGCAGCTTAGCATGTCATCGTAAATAATAAATGACAGTGACCGAGGGACCGACGCGAACATTGCGTCCCTTGCACGGATCTGCCTTGAAAGCACACCGAATTGCACGTTTAGTTCCAGCTTTTCCTGGCCCTTCTTCGGGAGACGCCTGTTTAATCTCGCTGCTTGCATTTCCTGGGTAATAAGTGATCTTTTACACGGTAATAGCTTGTATGTCACACACACAGAAAGACGCTTGAACTCACGCAAAGTATTTCGTCATTATGCAAAATT